AAAAACCCGAACGCTATAAAATAGACACAAAAACGCGAACTAGGTATTTAAAAATATATATCTTGCTCTCTCCCTCCCGTATATGCGCGGACATGGGCGGAGTAAGAGGGTCGCCGGGTGGCCGGGCCCAAAATAATGCGACAATTGCATTAAGTGCACAATGGATGGATGACCGACCGGAGGAGAGTGCCTGAATGCGGGGTAAAAGGGAGACCCAGGAGCGGAGCACTGGCGACTGCCTGGCAAATGAAATATTTTATCTTTATATGCAGCTTGAAGTTTTTGTCGCTCATTCGTTTGCCTTTTCCTGCTGTGTTTTTTCTTTGGTTGGGAAAATGCTGCACTAAATGTTTAAAATGGAAAAGATGCTCAACTGGTTTTTATTGTGCCAGGTTATGGTCAAATAAAGTTTTAGATTTTATCGCATGTGCAAGGGGGTTAAGATAATACTTGTACTAGAAAGAAAACTTGACAGCTTAAGTGTGAAGTTGGCCAGATGCGCCACGAGGAACAAACGATTACTGAAATGCTTTCTATATCTAGACCACAATTTTTCCATTGTAAATTATACCAAGACTCGAAACGAACCCTGGGCTAGGTCTGGAAAACCACCTTTCTAAAATTAAAAAGAAAATTCATCTAGAAGTCATTGTTGTATTCCTGATTGCATTCGTCTATCCGTATGCAATTAAACATATACGTTTTTTTTTATTATTTGAATCAGAAGTACAAGTTATTAAAAGCATTTTGTTCTCGATGGAATGCTGAAACATGCATCGCTCTAACAGCATGGCCAAGAGAACACAATTTTGCGTTTAGTTCTGTCACACAAACTGGCTCCCCCAACCATTTTGGCCCCCCTGGCTGACCAACTGAACAGATCTAAGCAGAACAAAACAAAACTCTGCCTGTGTCTGTGTCTGTGGCTGTGCATGTGCCAACAATTGCATTAATTATGCGTGCGGCAACATTTTGTGGCAAAGGCTTTTGCCAAATTGCCACAGCGGAGGCACTTGAAAGTTTTGCAGGCACTCAATTATATGGTCCAAGCAATGCGGGCAGGAGCGGCAGATGGAGAACTGCTGCCTGGTGACAGCGACGACATCAACGATTCATCTTTGACGGCGTCTTCGGCCTCCGCTCGTGGCTGGGAAATCTCAGAGAATGAGAGGGACAATTTGTGCGTGCCGCACTTCAAAGTGAGACTCGGGGAATCGGGCTAGGAATCTGCAACGTTGTCTGGGTTCCATGTCGACGACGTTGCCTTTTCTGTTTGCCTATTCAATACCTGAGCACTGAGCAGGGGGCGTGGGGTGAGGCACCGGCAGGCGAGCCAAATGCTAATCTTGATAAAAATAAACGCACTCGGGCACGTTGAGGTGGAAAAGTTGGCGCGTCTCACGTTTTTCGTCGCATTTTCAATTTGCTTGGCATTTGCCTGGCCATTGTCAGCATATCCCACTCATGGCCCTCCCCCTCTCCACGCCCATCCAGCCGTTAGACCCTTGCTAAGTGAATATTAATATTGACTTTTTGCCTGTTTGCTTTCGCATAGTTTGCAAAGTTTTTCACCTTTGATTGCTTCGCTTCCTCGCTTTTCCGCAGCCTGAACCTGAACCTGAACCCTGACCTCACCCGCTTACCATTTGTGGCCTTACAGTCAACGCTGTCTCCTCGCGCACTCCTCGCTCCTCCCGCCGCCACCACACTGAGCACTCATTCCCAGACTTTTTCTCAATGGCTGGTTTTAAATTTATGTGCAAAGTTTTATGCGTGGCCAAAGTCCTGGAATGGGAGCTGCTGCTGTAGATTCGCCAAGTGGAGGCGCTTTTCCATTATCAGCATTTGATGCTGCGCCTTCTCGGTAGTCGCTATTATTTTCCATTTTTATGACATTTAACTGGCACGTCCCGTTCCCAGCATTCCCACTAAGACTCTCGGCTTGTATGTCAAGGCCCTTTAACTTGGCTCCTCCAGTTTCAGGTACTCCAAGTTACGCTTGTATTCAAATAAACTGACGGAAAAACATGGCACTGTCAATATAATTAAATTAGCCTTATAAAAAACTGAAGAGGCAATAATTGACAAGAGACTGCCGTAAAGATTAAGAATATTAAAACTGGATTGGAAAATGCGCATTCCATAAGCTCTTTGCTTAAGTTATAACAACTTTAAAGATTCAAAATGCGTTCTTCAGGCAGTTATATTTGATTTCCGGACAATTCATAAAAAGTATGAATACCTCGATTTAAATTTGTTTTTCCTTCCAAATAGAAAGTAATGTTCAGAGATAGACACGACAGGAGATGAATTCTCTACGATTTCATCAAATGCTCTGTTTCATATATTTCTGCTTATACGGAATGTAGGTCCACTCCACTTCAAATTATTCTAAATTTTCCCATTACAAGTACAAGCAAGCACACGTCAGACTCCATCGTTCCTGCTCAATTATGAAGTAAGTCGACTTAAGCACTCCTTCATTTTGAACACACACAGATTGGCATTCACTATGCGGCTTACATGCACCTTCAGTTTGCGTACATATTTAAGCATTTTATAAGCCTATTAAGGCCCAACTTCGATTATGGTGGCCCCATTAAAACTGCCAGGGAGTAAAAAAGTGCCAAAAGTGCAACAAAAACAACAGTTTTCAACTTGTTGGCCTTTGACGGCGCCTTCGAGGGTGCTCCAAATTGGGTGGCCCGGGCGCTTCTTGACTACTATAGCCTCAAACTTGCAGCCTCTCCTCTGACGCAGCAACCGCAAGCGACGGCGTGCTATCAAAATATTTGCCACAATGAAATCATATTTGTGTGCTTTGCCAGTGCCACGCCCCCACTTAGTAAGTACATACACTCTGAAGGAGGCGGGAACAGAGAGAGGCAGCCATCGCTGGGACTCGACTATAGTCAAGTGAGGCTGGCGTGCGAAAGTTTATTAAAAACTTTGTGTGCCTTTTGCTTTATTTTTTCGCAAACAAACAAGCCATACACACACACACACACACACACACACACACACCGTACACACAAAGCACAAGCACATGCACTGTTACAAAAGCAACAGGAGCAAAAACAACAACAATGGCCATGCGAAACTTAATAATTCACACAGGAGTGAATTTTTCACAATTTTCACTTTTTTGCCGCTGCCATAGAGAAAGCGATCGAGTAGGGGTTGGGGGGGGGGGGGGGGGGGGTTGACAGCCCACGCAGGAGCAAGTGTGTGTGTGTGTGTGGGGGGGAAGGACAATTGGTTGGTTAGTTGACTCTGCTGGTTTTTTGTTTTTCACCAATTTTATTGAGGCAGAAAATATGATCCAAGACCTGGCGACCAAGCTGCGATGTCGGAGCGAAGAACTTTAGGGAGAAAGAGAGACGCAGAGAAATTAAGAGAGTGTGAAGGAGTGAAGCGAAGATTGTGGATTGCATGTGTGAGTGTAAGCTTTCAACTTTTGTTGACAGAATGAAACCTCAAAAGTTTGCGCTACGCTTTTATTATTTGTTTTACAGCTAGTTAAGAGCATTGTTCAAATTTGCAGCGTGTACACCGGAGAAATAGTTTTAGGGATTGAAGGTGGCGGGGTGATTCTGAAAGGTCTTCTCATTGTTTGCACAAAGTAACTGGCAGACAGGCAGTCAGACAGACAAACAGACAAGTGCTTAAATGACACAACGGGTTGAGACGAAGACACCGGAAGATATGCATGTAATTTGTTAATTACCTAATTGAGTGTTCGCCAAAGGGCAAATATTTAATTTAAATCGAGTGCATGCCTTAGGCAGTAGCTGAAATAGGATAAACAAATCTTTATTGGGCGTGTTTCGGTCCCAACATGCAAAATAAGCAATTTCATTTAAATGTCATCCTAAAAGTAGGCAACGGCAAATGCCCAGCAGAGAACTCTGTTTTCAAGCGATTGCCCGAACGGTATGCAATATTTATTGGATAATATGCAATTATAAATTTGAAATTACAATAAAATGTTTAAGGCTTTCAACTGACAATTAGCAAACCTTTTATGCTTAGAATACTTTACAATGCTATTCTTCTCAGTATTTCAAATACAGATTTAATATGGAAATCAGTCTGTGGCTCGTTCTGCTGCCGCAACACCTCTTTCGCGGTTAGATGCTTCCTTCATTTTTGGGTGCGTAATTCATAAAAAAAAACTTTTGCGGCTGCTGCCAGTTTATTTAACACGCTCGCTTTTTAGAGACACGCCGCAAGATTTATGCGCATAAGTTACGCGCTAATATTTCATAAAAGTCGAGACCGACCTGAAAACTCAAAGAGCTAGAGCCAAAGCAAAAGTCAAAACTCGTAGGTCGATGAAAAGTGCTGACAACTCGCATAGAAAGTTGCTGACTTTCCAGACGACGAGCGGTGAGTTAAGTAGGAATTGAAAATGATATTGAGTTAGCTCTGCTGCATTTTATGGTTTGGATGCAAAGTCAGTCCTGGCTTGTCGGCAGTTTCTCTTAATGTGCGCCGTCCAAAAAGTTTTGCATAACGCAGTGTAATAGTTCCAGTTAAGGATCATAAGCTGCCAAAGACTGGAAAATTTAAATCATTTTTTAAATGCATGCATATTCGTAAAGTTAGATTAAATAGGATTTAAAATCTTAACAATCAGCTTAAGGCTTGAGCTTAAGGAACTTTCTTCTAGGCTCTTCTATTTTATTTTATTTATTAATTATGCCGACGGAAAATTAAAAGTACACTTTTATAACTCCAGTGACTGACTATGCTCCTACGCTGCGATGGCAATGGAGCAGCAGGGGGATGCTCTGGAAAGTCAATTAAAATTATAAAATATTTAAGCCTTAAGCTTTACTGCAGCGAGAATTTCTTTAAAAGTATTTAGCTGCTGTTGTATTCTTATAAAACGAGATTAAAATATATGTATATATAGAGATAAATGAATTCCATATATAACATGGTTCATATTGTAAAACTTATTCAATTTTATGTTTTGCACTTCCCTCTGCGTTTAGAACTCTGTCAGCAATGACGTCCAATAACTGGTGATATTGCATCACACTCACCTCAAATCAACCATAAGTAACTCAACAGCAGCAACAACAACAGCAACAAGGAAACTGAGGCGGCCGTTGAGGTCCACGTTAACAACCAACAAAATGGAAACCGACACACACAGCAACAACAACCACAGCAGCAGCAACACAACCAACTCACACACAAAGTGGCGACAGGACAGTAAACCTCCTTCCCTGACACCCTGGCCGACAGCGTTGTCCTGGCTGCCGGCGCACCTTCTCCCGCTGCTACTGCTGCTGCTGCTGCTGCTACCTGGCAGCACAGATGCCTTCTGCCCCTCGAAGTGCCAATGCCTGGGCGGCGATGCAAATAGTCGCGCCCTGTGCGTGGATGCGGCGTTGGAGGATGTGCCCATTCAGCTGAATCCGGAAACAAAGTACATAAACCTCACGCTGAATCGCATACGCAATCTGGAGTTCACGCTGCCCTTCTACATGAAGCTGGAGGTGCTGGATCTCTCGCAAAACATCATCGAAACGCTGGGCTCCAAGAACTTTGAATACCAGACGGAACTGCGCACTCTGAACTTGAGCAGGAATCTGGTCAGCGCCCTGCACAAGCACGCCTTCAAGGGACTAACGAATCTACTGCTTCTGGATCTTAGCTACAATCGCATTGAGACAGTGCATCCCACGGCGCTGGGCGATCTCGCGGCGCTGGTGGAACTAGACTTGACCAACAACAATATTGTCAGCCTGGAGGATAACTGTTTCAAGGGCATGTTGTCGCTGGAGGTGCTCGTCTTTCGCAACAACCGGCTGCTAGATGTGCCCGCTAGCAATCTGTGGCATCTGCATGCGCTCAAGAGCCTGGACATGTCCGATAATCTGGTCGAGTACGTGCGAAACGATAGCTTTGAAGGCCTCAAAGAGCTGCTGGCTCTAAGCGTGCGCGGTAACGTAATGAGCGAGCTGGATGTGGGCGCCTTTGAGGGACTCATCTCGCTGAAGCACTTGGATCTATCGGATAACAATTTGACGGTGAGTGTGGGGGACCACAGGCATAAACATGCAGCAACATGTCGTATACTTGTTAGATAAAATAATTTAGCATGAAACAGGCGGAAGGCAGTCGGACACGGCATATCTACTTGCACACAACAGCTAAAATATTGCGGCTGCCTTTTAGGCGCTTACACGCACACACACGCACACTCATACACATACATAAATCAGACACTTTGCTCTGTTGCTTTCGTTGTAAATCCTGTGACCAACACTTTGCAAAGCGGATTGCAGGCGTCCTTGTCCTGGCCTGGCCAGGCCAGCCATGGACAGCAGCTTAAGTTCGTCCTTCCTGTGCTGCCTGCTGCATACGCAAAATTAATAACCATAACTTGTTGTTGTTGCTAGCGTATGTGTGGGCGTGTGTATGCCTTAAACTTCACGCACACTCACATGCAGGCAGACAGTCGTATATAGTGAGTCCTGTGGCCATGTCCTTTTGCTATTTATGCACGCAAACATGTCCGTACCGTCCTGATTTCTGTTGCGTATACACTTTGCCTATTCCTCGACATTTTCTGTTCGTTAAATGCTGCCTCTGCCTTCCCCTTAGCTCCCCCTACCCGACTCTACCCGTGCAACATTCTTTTTTTTTTCGTCCAGCAACACTTTAAGCTTGCTGTCCTTGTCACTCAACAGCTTTCAAGCTGCTTAAATGGCACAGACACTTGGGCATACTTGAGTATGAAGCATTTGTTGCATGCCACATTTGGTGCAACTTTGAAAAGTGTACAAAATGAAAAGGAGCAAGACATCAATGTAGTTTGTCCAGTTTCTTTTATAGGCAATTAATATTAAAGCATATATTACTTAAGATATCTCATAGATAAATGAGCGGAAGACAACTGGCCCAAGAAATATTCCATTGGAGTGTGTAACGCATTGAGGTAGTTATCCCTATCTTCATGAAATAAATTTATGTAATTTTTTTAAGTCAATTTATCTTAGTACAAATTAGAGTCAATACATCAAAATAGTTTTAACAGCAAGTAATATTATCTAGTTTTTGTTTTTTTGAAGAAGAATGAAGCTCAAATTTCCGTTACCGTAGCTAGAAGCAGTATGCAAGGAATATTTTTAATCTTAAATACATGCACAATATATATAAATATTTATATATTTATCTATATCTATATACATATGTAAATAAGTAGTTCTGAAACCGTTGCATGCCAAAACAGCAGCCCAGACATACGTAATCTTACTAATGCCCCTTCCCAAGGAGAAGTATGACGATGCAGGCAAAAATTTCATGCACTCTCCATACATATGCAATACATAATAGGGATCAGGAGCACACTAGGGTAGAACCTATGCTTATGGCTGCATTATAACAACTGCCACCATGTCTGCGCATAATAAAACAAGCTGGCCCATGGCAGAAGGGAAAAGGGAAAAGGGAAAGGGGAAGCACAAGAAGTAACAATGGAATGCAGTTTAGGAAAAACCAGAACATGCTGCAACGGCTAAAAACAAAGTCGCCAGGCAGCTCAAGATAAGCAGCTCCAAAAAGCAGTCAAATGAATTTTTTGTTCCGTTCTCTGACCAGAGGAGCGGAGTGAAACGTAATGGGGTGAGGTGCACGACGTTGCATAGCTTGCTGCACCCGGTCGTAGTATTAGGTATTGCCTGTACACAGTGCACACGACCAGAGACCATATATTTCAACTGCAAAATGCCAAAAGGTATTTTAAGTAGTTTCGAACTGATTCCAAGCGCCATAAATTCTTCTGTCGGTTGCCGTTGACTACGCGCAGCTCCACCTGCTTAGCCTCGGCCACGGCAGGCATGTGGTGCTTAGCGCTCAGTAGTCCTTTATTCCTTTTTCACGACCATAAATATATCTATGTATGTATGTGAATCTATGTGTGCGCTTGTGCGTGCAGGCCAGACTGTTATCTAGATGTGGACCTATAAAGGTGCGCAATGTATTCGTCAGGTTGCGGCCATGTTGGCTGCTGTTCTCTATCTCAAGCTCCGTTGCCAGTTTGCATAAAACAAAAACAACAACAACAGCTGCAGCCACAGCTACAGCAACAGCAGCAACGGCTGCAACAACAAATGCTCTGTGATTACATGGTGCATAAAAATGCATTCAGCTATGCAGTCCATAGTCGGTACACTGTAGTTCCGGACTTACCGCCTCCTGCCCATGCCAGGGCATGTACCTCTCCTCACCCACCCACTAGAATGCCTTTAACTGATGGCTTGCCAATTTTATGTCGATGTGTTTATGGTCACAGGGACATAAAGCGTGCTGCTCTTTGAGATGGAGTCCACATTTCACCTCAGGCTAGTGTAATTGAAAGATTGCATAAAATTTACTAGTTATTTATTATGTTTCACATATTCTCTGTTGTATAAGGCATAGTATTTAAGGGAAATAGCACATCCCGTGCAATCGATCGAGTTGTGCATTCTTATAATAAGGAAACCTAGACTATGTGCTAGTCTAGTAGGGACAGTAATTAATTATGCATAAATATTCAACTATTCATTAAGGAAGATTAACTATAAGGATTCGGTAATCGTAATTGGTAATCGAATACCAGGATCACAGCTTAATCCATGGAGGGCGAACAGTATTTTCTTCCCAGTACAGGTCTTCAAGCCCCTTGTAATTTTTCCTTGACAGGCTTAACCAAGGTGGTGATCTGCAAGTCGAACTGAAGATAAAAAAAAATGGAATGTTAACTTAATTTCCAGTACAGATAAAGCGTTCGGGCGGTGTGCAAGACAACAATTGGGGAGTTTCTATATAGAGGAGAGTTTCTATAAAAAGACATTGCCTTGTTCTCAATGCGAACATTCTGTGCCGTTGCATAAATAAAAGCACATATTCGATTTTCAATACTCTCATAATTAAAATAAAAGCAAAAATGCGTAAAAATTACTTATGCTGAATTTTACATATTCCCAGTATAACAAAAATACTATTGTCCGTGCATGCGTGTACGCATTTGTATTGGCATTTGTTTACGACTTTGTGGTATTTTGTTGTTTTCGATTTATTGTGCTTTTAGTTGTGAATTATGATTTTGCATTTTCCACATAAATATGATTGCATTCAGCATTGGTGCCTAATAATTGCAAAAACATCTGCACACGCCTACACATAAAAAGTAGAGAATGAATATCGGAATTTATAATCAATTTATTCAGCTCTAAAAAATTTCAAAATTTACATAAATGTTAAAATATTTATCAAACACAGAAATATTTTGTGCTTTTGTTTCTATGCTACGTTGGGCATGCCAAAGAATAAATATCATTTATGTTTGTGAATTTTTATAATAGGAGCGTATAAAATCTAAGTATTGTTCAACCTTTAATTCTTATTTCAATACTTCGCATTAAACATAAAGCTCTCTGCGCTATGCAATAAGTTATCCGATAAAAATTGGAGCAAAGGTACCGAAAGGAAAACCCATGGCAATCATTAATTCAAAGAGAAGTGGAAAAAAAGGGAAATTAATTTGGAAAATCAAAGTCAATATAATTTCGCTTTCTTTTATGCCACTCGTGCCTGTGCCTTGCTGCCTCTTACCTTACCTACTCCTACCTTTCCCCTCGCCTTAACCACATAAATTTCTCTCGCTACGTTCCTTTTGCACCCTCGCTTTTTTCACGCTGCGCTGCGCTGGCAAACGAACTGGCCAAAGAAGTGTCCCGGCCTGCCCCGACCTCTGCCCGCCCTATGTATGTGTATATGCCCGAGCCTTTTAATTAGTCAACCGCCCGCACCCCCCGTTTGAGTGCAGTACAAACACTGAGCGCTGGTCCCGCGATCCCACGAAGGGTTAAAATGTGAGCTGAAAATTGCCATTAGGTTAAACAATTGCAGCGCTTGGCCTACATTGCGTATGCGTAATGCTTTTCATTTTTGCTCCTTGCTCTACGTTTGCCTTGTCACCTTTGGTCGCTTTAAACGCTCCACTGCTCCCCTTGACGGCCTGCCCCCGCCACGCAGTTCATTACGTTATCGCAGGCGCTTCTCGTGTCCGGACGCTTGGCACATAGCTTCCGACACGCCAGCAGCTGCATGTGGTGGGTGGTTTGCTGTTGGCGTCGGGCAAGGAACACAGCTACAGTTTTTGATGAGCCATTCGAAAAAAACAGCCAAAAGCAGAGCCAAAACAGTTAGGAAAACCTTTTGCCACACGCTCGAGACTTTACTTAGCTCTGGTTGCTATTGTTGTGACCCTAACAAATTTGTTGCAAGATTGATTGTATTGCCAACACACACGCATACACACATACACACGGAAAATAAAGCGATTTGGCCAGACATCACAAAATGGCGCACGGATGTACATGACGTACATGACGTTTCCGTTTCCGCTGACGCCGCCGCGGCCGCCGCCAAAAGCTGCGCTTTTCAAGTGTTTCACATTTTATTGTTGAACAACACTGAAAACTGCCCCCTCGCGGCTCTTGAAGCATTTTGAATGCCAGCGCTTTTAGAAACAAATATAAGCTGGCGGTGGACTAAAAGGCATAAACAAGATGCAGAGTGGAGGGGGTGAGGAAGGCAGACAGCGAAGGGCAACTAAATGGCAACTATCAAGTGCAGCCGCAAAACGCTTTTAAAGCTAAGTGGATGGTATTAACATTTTATAAGCCCGGCTTCCCCAAACTTGGCTCTCAGTTTGTTTAAACGCTCGAAATTAAATGATTTTTTGCTACTCTTTCTCATTTTTCTCGTTTTCTCTCTTTCTCTCTCTTTTTCTCTTTGCAGATGGTACCCACCCAGCAGCTCTCGAAACTTTCAAATCTCACTTATTTGAACTTGGGCGGCAATCGCTTTGCCCACTTGCCCGCCGTCGCATTTTTAAACTTGTTTCATTTGCGCGAATTGCACTTGAGCCGCCTGGACTATTTGCAGCGCATCGATTCAAGGTAAGTTGCCATCGAGCCGAGTGAAAGTTCAAACGCCCCGCTAGCCCCAGCACCTCGAGTTGAGAAAAGTTACACAGATACTTAACAAACTCTAGTGCATATATATGTCTTTTTCGGATGGTAACTGGGTCAGCGCCATGAAATGTAGACACAGCAAATAGTTGCCGAGAAACTGCAAACGAAAAATCAGCAAACTGGACAACAGCAAACAGTTTGCTCAAAGTGAGAGTAATTCAGAGAAACAACAAAACTCTGCAGCACATAATAATGAGGCTCTAAAAAAAAAAAAAAGTGAAATAAAAATGACAGCCTTCCCGCTCAGGCTGTCCTATACAACTTTTTTGACATTCATGGCTTGAAGAGAATTAAAGAATTTTCTTTTTGTTTATTTTATTTTTCCTTTGAAACTTTTCTTTTTATTTCAGATGAAATATTCTATATTGAAAAATATGCTTAGCTGTTATCCAACAATATTGCATTCATATTTAGGTCCCAGCTCTTCTGCTTTTCCGTGTGAATAAAATTATAAGGTTAACTTTCTTAAATCGGTTTGAAATCAACAGCGAGACAGTGCTAGTTTGAAAAATTAAACAAACTGAATTCAAAATAATACAACAGCTTTTAAGATGATTTATAAGAAATTGGTTTGGCTTGCCACACATATATTTATTTTTGTTTAAATATATTATATGTTGTGAATTGTTTCGTATAGAACTTAAATGGATGTCCTTAATAGTGTGTGGGAGCTACAAGAAGGCCATACAATAACTCAATAATTAAATTCTGTTGAGCTGAGGGGAAAGAGAAACGTGTTAAGCTTGTAGTTCTCTATCACTTTCTGTAAGCGCCACTGCCCTAATAGGCTTTCCCTTAAAACCCAGTAAAGTATGCAATACTTTGGCAAGGCTAATCATCTGCCTCAATAGGCAGATCAAACCCAGAGCGTGCAATGGGATTTGTAATCCCTTTTGTGCAACTCACGGCGCTTACGAATGCTTTCCAAAAGTAGCTATTTATGCAATTCACTTTCACACACTTGCACGTGACCTACCAGCCACACACACACGCACACTCGCACACACACAGAAAGACACTTAAACATGCCTGGGCTACAAATCATTATTGCTCAATGCAATCAATCATGTCTAATACGCTTTGGTAATAAGATGCCAACACACACCAACACACACACTCGCACATCCAATCACAAAGTCAAATTTACGTCCCCCAAGTTCCAAGTGCCCCGCTCTGAAGCAGACATTGAAATGCTTGAGCTCAATTCGAGCATATGTTAATTCAATAATTCCAGGCAATTTTCATATCAAATCATCATCGAAGAAGCCTCTGTCTGTGCAAAAGTCTCGACTTGGTTGTCAATCAGCCCCCCCTTCGCACCCTGCCCCACCTATGCTTCGTTCAACAATAATATTAACATGAGTTACATGGGAAACGTTCGCAGGCCGAATCATGTAAATGGATCCATAGATGACGGAGAGATGCCATTAAATCAGTTTAATTTCGTTTGATTCTCTTGTCTGACTTAGACCAAACCCGCAATTTCTTGCCCCGTCTGCCGCCACATGCCCTACTCAGTCTTTGCCTTTTATAATTGCTTTTGCTTTTTGTTTGGTTTTGCTTGATTTCTGTTTCAGTCCTGTTGCAAACTTTTCCCTCACCATTGTTCGCTGTCTGACAAATTGTTGCCTAACTGAAATTTGCATACCACTTACATACACGCACTGTCACACACACACGCACCCACACACACACACACACACATGTTTCCTTATTTGCAAACTAAATTTTGCGTTTGTCTCCGCTGGTTTTTCGGGGGCTATTGAAAGCGTCGGCAAATCTTTGCCGCCGCCACAAAATCTTATGCTAATATAGGAAAATTTGAATTTTCAACCTTATTCTCTTTGTTGGCACCGCAGAAAATGAAAATGGAGTGTGTGCTAGAGGAGGGAAAGACTATTCAGCATATCGTTGCATACTTCTAGGGCTGGTCGAAACTCCGTTAAGTCGACTAAAAATTGTATCTATGTGCAAGGAAATGTTGCTCCAAAAGTTGGCATATTTAAGAGTTGACTACATCTATGCGATTTGCTTCTTTCTCCAACAAAGTGACGGATGCAAGGACGCTTTTAGTGGCACCTTGTTATCTTACCTTCTCAACTTACCAATAGTTAGTGTTATCTTACCTTGGGCATGCCTGATTGGGAGATATCCTAAAAAATGAAACATTATCTGTATTATTTAGTACTTAATAGACCTACTTTCGGAATTGAGATATGGTCAAAAACAATATTGCAAGTCGCAAAAGCGGCTAAAATTGGATCTTATATTTCCAAAATGTGACATGATGTCAGCAAATCTTAAATGTAATTTACCTGATTTGTGCCCGCTCCTCGCCCAACTTTAACATCAGAATCAATCGCTTGCCGACATTGCCGTTGGCAGCACATAGTTAAACTTTATTCCCATTTCCTTCCGTAGATTAAAAATTTCCACAACAAGCAGGAAATTATATTTCACTAACTTAAGACTGGAGCTCTATATGTGAGGGGCTGGCTGCTTTCGACAGAAGCACAAACAAGTCTGCGGCTTATGCAAAAGGTTCCAGACAAATTGTCAGACACCCTTTAAAAAAGTGAAATAGCGGAAATAGCGCAACATTTTAAAGTTTGGACGGGCGCTGCATTAAAGGCCGAGACATGCCTCCGCAGAGCTGTGTCTCTACACATGTATGTAAATATTTATGCAAATGCGTTAATGGAAACCCAACCCAAACCGACGTGCGACGTTGGCGACATGTTGATAGCAAAGTTTATGGCAGATACATTTCGCAAACTGCGAGATACACATGTGTTGCTCTGGGGTTGTCTCATTATAAAAACCTTACACCCGAACAATCAACGCGCGCTCGCAAAATTCATTAGGCAATGGCACGCACCTTCCCCAAAGCAAACAACCCTCCCCCAGCAGTAGCAGCAGCAGCAGCAGCAGCAGTAGCAGATGTGGAACACCCCCTCGGCCCGCTGGCAGCACTTGAGCATATCAAAGGGAATATTAAGTGAACATTTTTACACCGAACGGAGGCTGTGCCAGTCCCAGCCAGCATCCGCTGTATGACTTAATAGCTAAAAGTCATTCGCTACATTAACACTTGTATCTGTCCCAAAAGGGATAACCCGAAAGGTGTTGCCCAGCTCATTTGCACGGTTTGTCATTGCGGGTTTCAAAATTGAAAATAATTGTTTTGAAATTTATGCATTCCGTGCCGAGCTGACTTCATTTGCCCGCTTGGAGTTGTAATGCGATTCGCATTGCGAACGGGGAGATTGGGCATATGCGGCATTTGGTTCTGCGGCAGCTTTGGGGTTGAATTTGCTGAGGACTCCAGGTCTGTGGCAGCTTATCTCGGCGTAGCTTAGTTGGCTGTTGCTGCTTTTCTAAGTTGAATTATGAAAGAACTGCAGGACGGCCTAGAAAAAATAGATTTTGTGTCTAATGGCGTGGAATGTAATGTAATTTTGGGCATCGCATTGAATGTGACAGATCATCTAAGACGTGAATGATTTGTAGCTCTAAGATGACAACTGACTATTCCAAGGAATATAAAATTAAGTGAATTAGATATTAATCTTCAAGCAAATCATAAAGGGCAAATTAAGTTATTTTCATGCAACTCAAAAAAAAAAACCTAATCGGAATACAATGTTAATGGAGTAGTGCTTTATGTAAGCAATTGAAATGCAACACGGAAAATAAGGCTTACTTCTTTTTGGCGGCTTGCAGCTCTGGCTTTTGTTGCTGGCTAAGCTTCGCTAAATGAAATCTCACATTAATCATAAACGCAAATATTTTCAAAGATACGCACTGACACCAACCATTTTTTGAGTCCACATTAAGTGACGCCTCAAGCTGTGCAATCTTGCAGATTGACTGAATTTTGTTATGTTCCTTGACAAAGTCAAAAGAATATCTTAGCTTTGTGCAATTTGCGGCCCATCTATTGGTCCGCTCGTATATTCATACTTTTCTGCGGTGCTCTTGAAGCTAGAAGCTTAAGATTTTGAATATATACTCTTGTATATTCGCATCAGATCTTCCACAGATGTAAAGTCACCGAGTGGACCGTACCTTAAGAATGATTCAAAACTTTTTTGACTACGCTCAAGGGGGAAAACCGCGGTCTCTTAAAAATTTAGTTGCCAGACAATATAAACTTTTATTATTTTGTACTTTTTTACACAATTTTTACAGATAGTTTTAAATTTCTCGATTTCAATTAGGCGACAATCCCACACATACACCAACACTTGCTGACAGTTTGGTGTTTTGTTTTATTTAATCACAGCAACACATTTGATTATGTGCAAATTACAAGTGTTCATTGTTTAATGTTCTCGTTCGTTATTTTTCATTGTGGTTGTATTGTTTGTGCAAGTGCTTAGCGAGTACTTAAAATGTCCAGCAACGAGTGGCACTCACGCCATTTGCAGGTCCAAATCTGGGCGCTAATTCACTTTTATATCGAGTGCATTTAAAGTTGAATAGAAAAGTTAATTACACAGCTTAGGCACTTTCCTCTTTATTTAAACGAACGCGATTACTACATAATGATAAATATGTGCAAATCGTTAGACCAAAGGAAAAATGGCATAGCTGGCGATTCGGCACTGGTTGTTTCTGTTGCGTGCCATGCGTATATAGCCCGATTCACCCCATTTGCTGCCCCAGGAGTTTTTTACCAGCCAATAATCACCCTCGCGGCTATCATGGCCGTAGCCCACAACCAGAACGGCATGATTGAAGTATTTGTTGCAGGAGTTGTCCTTATAGACGCCACTACGATATTGCATAAAAGTCTGGCCAGCATGGATGAGTACCGAAATTGGACCCTTGATTGCAGTGGCAACAGCCAAATTCGATTCATCGTCCTGCTTCAACCTCACGATGGCGCTGACTGAGGCGCCGACATTGTGTCGATCGAAACGACACGAAAGCTGACGACTATCATAGGGATAGGAACTTTCGATATCGATGCCACCATTGTCCCTCACATACATCAGAGCTTGTAGTGGAAGTCCGCCATTGCAGCCCTTATTGCTATAGGGATACCGACTTGAGCAGTCCAGCAAATTCTGCGTGGACAGCGACATCAGTTGCCGAGTCTTTAAGAATTGCTGACCCTCCAAGGTGCCCACTGCGGAGAATGCCCAGCAGGAGCCGCACTTGCCCTGATCCTTCACTGAGGTGACTGCACCCTTCACTCGCCAGTCGATAGAGCTGGGTATTTCAGTGTTTTCTGGTGCTGAATATATAATGTCTATATCGGATGTGGCATCCGTTAAATTGATGCTAGTTAGCATCAGGCTCCCAAATTCCTTGGGCAGCATATCCGTAAACTGATTCACGCCCATTTCGTAGGCCTCCTTGCCTAGGGCATAACGTATATTATGTTTATCGATCGCCTTCTTGTTATCATAAAAGATTAATTTGCGGAGCAACTCCTCGTCCTCACTTTCGTAGCGCTTCTCGTACTCCACCTTAAAGGTTTCCCACTCCGCCTCCAGCACGTCTGCGTAGGAAATGCCCTGAACGATACCGATAAGTGCAAGAAATGCAATTACTGCCCTCATATTGGACTGCAGTGGAGACCAAACAACAACTGATTCGAGCGAAATGAAATCCACACTTTTTATAAGAATTCTATAAGCCAAGACTATTGTTATCAGCACCGTGATTAGCCCAAATGCAACTGACCTATCAGTTCCAAGAAGTTAGCGATTAATTCAGCGTACATATGGGTTAAACAACCGATTCCGACGGTAGTGCATGTCAATAAATGGTTCAGCTTTAGCTCGATAAGATAAAACAGCTCGTTATGTTATATGACAAGAGTTCATCATCATTGCTAAATTGAGTTGATTTCATTCACGTTAAAGGTACAAGCTTATCTTTTCACACAGTTCTAATAAGTCAGCAGCTTGTGGCTGGTTTTTTATTTTTTAAAGGGTCTCATATGGCATCCAACAGCGACAAGTGTCAAGAAATGATTGCAAGTAAACAAATAAAGCTAAACTTAAACCCCATACACACCCATACACCCCCTAGCTTCCCACAAAGGGGCGTCAAAGGAGCTGCAGCACACAAAAGTACGCAATGCATAATTTTATGTTCATAAGCATATTTTGCGAGTGGGAGCGAAGAGTGCCAAGAAAAAAGGCAGCAGCGACAACAGCTGCAAAATGAAAACAGGAAGAAATTACGGAAACAGGAAAACATAAACATGCTGCTGCCTGCCTAACTACCCCGCCCCCGCAAAACGTCGCCATTGCCACCACCGGCCAGGCCGGCAATTTTTCCATAAATTATGAGCCTGGAAATATTTCAAGGCAGCCTCGTGAGTAGCTATTATGCGTGTGTTTATGCTCATGCTTGTGTATGCGAAAAGCGTATTTGCATTCTTATAGAGACTGAAACCCAGAGACCGAGAGAGAGAGAGAGAGAGACTGAGAGCGAGAGGGAAATAGTGCAAGTCTAAGCCTGTATATTTATGCATATGCATGCCCAGCAAGAGGGAGGGGGCAGCACTCGCTGGGTAATTGCCATCGCTCACTGCATTGCACTTGAATTTCAAGACATTTATAAATTATGCAAGCAGCAACAGACTAAAAACAGCCCCGCCAGCAACCTGGCTCTGGACAATTACTCAATTTAAGTATTTAAAAAAAATCAGCTTTTATCTAAATAGCCTCTTAATTAGTAAATGTAACTCAAACCCCTCGGTTAGGCGAATATATCCTTTAGTGTTTTGCTTCTTTTAAATCTCTCTCAATTTATCTTATTATTGTTCATTTTTATGTCGATATATTTTCTATAATTTTCAACATTATTTGCGCTGCACTTAAACCTGTTTAGCTTGTGTTTCTGCATAATTTATAATTGCAAGCCATAACAACTGAAGGCAGTCCCTCATTTGTGTCCTTGCATACACATATTGTGGGTTTTACCGTGAACGTAATACAACATTTTGTGCCAGTCGTTTTATTCGCGTTGGCATCGCGTTCCCACTGAACGAAAATTAAAGGTTAAACGGGGCGTATGCGCAATTTAAAAGCGTTTAAAATGCCATTAACAAATACTTTAGGCATATCATATGATAATTTGTCGTGGGCTAAGCGGCACAAATTGCGAATGTGTTTGTGTGTGTGTTATGGCAATTAGTTAATAATTGCTTGGGCGTCATCGCAAATGCTGCAATACCTTTAAAGCTTCAAGTGGCCCTTTAATTTCATTCCTTATTCAACTGTCAGCGCAGCAGAACTCAATAAATCAACAGCTAAATCAAGGCTCAATGCAGTTGGCAAAATCGGTTTCCCTTTGGGGCTATCGACTGTCATATCTCTCTATTTATTGTAGTAAAAATGTCAATCAATTGAATAGACCGGATTTACTCCAACAAACTCCCCACACACTCGCACACACACATAGACACACAAACACAAAGGTGCAGATAGCCGCATGCAAGATTCAAAAACTATATGGAAACGGGATACAACATATCCTTTGATTGACTGACTGACTGGCTGACAAACTGTTAGACAGACTGACTGATTGACTGTTCATCAGTTGCTTTACTATTGCAGTAATAGCTGGTCGTGTGACTGAACTCTCTGGCTGGTCTCTGGTCTGAGGCCCGGAATCGGGAAACGTGACTGAACCCGACGAACATGGACAGCAAACATTTCAATCCGATTTCCAGCAATTCCAATTCTGACGCAACACACACATTCACATAGCAATTTGCATATAAGCTGGCTGAAAAATAAAAGTAAGAAAAGAGAACAACAACATTTTCGACTGTTTATACACCCACAAATATACACGCTCACACTCTCACTCACACACACACACACACACACATGGCAACCATTTCCGTTTCCGCACGCTTGACGCTGGCAAAAGCAACAGAAACAACACATATGAAAACAAGTCGAATACTTCAGTCTAGGCGTATCGACGGGAAAGTACCCTGTAATAGAAGCTTCTTATACCTATTTTTGCAGCTGTATAGCATCTACATCTGTTGTGGGCTATAAATTGGTTGCTTGAATCAGCCACGAACCGAACACCTCAATAACTTTTCTGTGACTTTCTGATTTTCTTTTACAGCCGCTCTCAAAAGAATTTAACAAGGAAAATGCCTCAAAAATTCGTTTTTTTCTTTGTGTAGGGTATTCAAAAATGGCGACACCCGCATTGACTCAAAAAAAATTGAACGCCACACAAAATGAAGTTTGAATCCGGGCACAGTACAGCAAAAAGGCTGTTGCTGTTGTTGGCAGTCAAAGAGGCGAACCCTCTAAGCCCCCTTGTTCCTGCAGCAAAATTTGCCATGTAGTCGCCACCCTTTTGCGTGTGCCTTGGGCGTAGCCAAAGCGGCATTTAAAGAGCGTTCAGCAGCAGGTAGCGACCTGTAGCATCGGGTGGCTCAGGCTGGTGCCTGCAAAGGTATCCCGGCCAGATCCAAATGAAATCCGCGCCAATGTCACGTTTCTTGCGGCCAAGTGTTTGGCTCCCTGCACTATTTGCATAATATTTGCACAAATAATTGAATTTGTATTCTTAGCCCCTGCACGCTAAATTGTTCAACTGGAGTGAACTTTTTTTCTGCAAGGCGAAGTTTTGTCTGGTCTCTGACTGTGCAGATAATGGCAAAATGTTTAAGCGCCTGCAATTGAAGTTTTTGAATGCTTAACTTGCCATGAAATTGAACGTTCAGCGTGGCAGAGATTCGTTTGTTTTGTCTAGGAAGTTCCGTCTGGGGTGGGATTATTATTCGAACTCATGTGTTGACTTTAAAGTATGATAATATTTTTGCAATGTCTGATTACAACTTGCCACACTCAATTCAAACTAGTTTTTAATTTGATTTAAAGCTAAATTATAAATAGTCAAATATGATTTAACGATAGGAATGTCCCATCACATATATGAAGACTCCTTAGGTTAAATGCAGAGCTGAAGACAATAGAATTAATAAATCGGTTGAGCTTTTTTATATACATAGACATGGATAAAGTAGTTTAAAAATGTAAAGTGCAACTGTGATAAAAACTCAAGTTTTCCCATTTAATATCGAATCTAGAGCCTAGGTTTGGATTATGTACCAATCAGTCAGTCAGTCAATCAGGATAAAAGGATTTTAAAAATACATTCCAGAAAGGATTAATTCTTTTTAAGCATAAAAATTGAGTGCAAGTTTTAGAATATTGACTACCATAAACTTCACACTTTCAACCACAAAAATGCCTGCACACCGCGTCTGATGGCAAATACATCACTGCTAATATGTAACTCCAACTGGCAGCAATCAGTCGTAAACTAACTGCTGCATACAAATGGGTTTGAGAGGCGCCAACAAAACTGTGCTACTTATCAAAGCAATGCACGAGCTGCACCGCAAAGTTCAGCAAGGAAACGCAGCTCGTATAAATGCGTTCATTTAACACGAAATGCAACTTAAGGGCTCGAATCAAATCAAATCAAATGAAATGCTGTAGAGTAGTGTAAGAAAAAATATAAATCGCTTAAAAGCGACAAATTCGCAGTGTGTCAGCGGAGCAGCCAGCGAGTCGTCGCCTGTTCCTGCTGCACCAGAAGCAGCAGCAGCAGCGGCAGCGGCAGCGGCAGAAGTTGGTAAGTTGCTCATACGCCACGTTGCACTTATTTCATGCTGAGACTGCGAGCGACTGGTGGGGGGTATGTTATAGGTAATGCACTGCCTGCAGCTGCTGCAGCAACTGCAAGTGCTGCAGTCAGCGACTTTGCGACGTTGACTTAACTTGGCAGGGATTTACGGCAACGCTTCACGGAGCTGCGACACGAAGCTTGCAACGTGGAACATGCAGCAAGGGAGTATGTTTCTTTTTCTCTCTTTCTCTTACTCTTTCTATTATTAGGTTCAAATAGACGCAGGCTAAATAAATCCACGTCGCTTAAGACGACGCCATGTGGATAAAGGGCCAACGAGACTGCTGCGCTGCATGTGTGTGTGCGTGTATGTGTATGTGTGTGTCTATTCATGTATTTCATTGCCTGGCATTTAAGTTTAACGTTGATGCATAGCATTCTGCATAATTAAAATGAACAACCAACAAGAATAGTCTCGTATATCCACAAAGTACATCACATCCCTCACACACGCACGCATCTGTGTGTCGTGAGTGTGTCTGTGTGTGCCTGACAGCTTGCAAACTGTGTACATGTCGCTGAATTGTTTTAAAACAGTCCGGATTGTTTATTTTAAGTCGAACTTTTTTAATGCATAAAAGTTTAATTTTACATGGAGAATTTCTTTAAATATGCTATCTAGTTTGCTGAGTTTCACACTCAACTGCGGAAAATAGGTGGAAAACAGTTAAATGAAATTTTTTGTTCACTATTCGCTCAACTTGAAATTGGTTTTCAAAGACCTTGTTAATAGTGATTTCAGCGCAAAGTTTTAGTTTCTAACTCGTTTCCACAGATCTCTATTAAAATTCTTAACAGACATAAACCCACCCTCTTGGGTGCAAAATCCAACGCTTGATCTTTCGAACGGTTTCAAATTTATTTTCTAAGCTGTAAAACTTCTTGTGTACAAGATATCCATTATATCCATTCAAATTCAATTTATTTTCACTAATGCTTATTTTTACTTTTCTATTGTAGAGCCTTCGTGGACAACACGCATCTGCAGACGCTCCACCTGAACTTCAATCCCCAACTGAGCGACATACCCATGCGCCTGTTCCAAGGCAATCCCAACATACTGGAGGTGTACATGCAGAGCAACAGCTTGCAGACACTCTACTCGGCCCAGTTTCCGGTAGACCAGCTGCAGAAGCTATACCTGGGCGACAATCCGCTGCAGTGCAACTGCTCGCTGCTCTGGTTGTGGCGCCTCGTCACCGGCAACTTTGAAGGCTCTGAGCCGCCGCTGGAGCATGCACAAGGCGGAGCTGTGGCCGCGCTGGCCAAGGAGGCATCGCTTGGCAGAGAGGAGGATGACACGACGCTCAAGTCGGATGACGGTGTATCTGCCCTGGCGGCCTATATAGCTGAGCAGCACATTGCGAATGCGCTGCAAACCACCGAGCCGAGTGCGTACGAACAACGTCTGGAGGCGGCCGCTAGCTCCAGCTCGAGCAGCAGCTCGGGTTACCTGCGCATGGATAAACAGCAGATCGGGTGCGATATCTGGCGAGACGCAGTCCGCACGCGGCGCCAGCTAATGACAATGAGTGAGAGTGAAATCACCTGTCCGGCGCACATTGTGACCGTGGTGTGTGCGGTGATCACCAGCCTCCTGGTGCTCATGATCGGCGTCAGTGTGCTCTACTATCTGCGCTTTGTGAAGCGCCGGCGCAAGCTGCTGCACGAGCGCGGCCCGCTGCGGACCAGCAAGAGCATCATCAATGTGCACGACCGCATACTGCAGGGTCATCATCAGCCGCTGGGCGGTGGTGCCGGCATGAGCATGACGTTGGGGGGCTCCGGGGCTGGTGGCTTGGGCATGGCGCTAAACTATCCGCATCATGCCCAAACGCTCCAGGCGCATCATCACTATCATCAGGCGATGCCACTGCAAGCGCATACCGGGGGCGGACACCACGAGTATCAGCAGACGACACTGCCACAGCTGGACAAGCTAGAGCTGGAGCGCTATCTGGCGGCACAGACCATTGCCAACGAGTACCGAGCTCTCAAGCCCTGGGAACTGCCCGTCAAGGAAGCTGACGATGAGCCGGAGCATCTGTACGAGCGCTTCGATCACTACGAGTACCCGGATACACACACCATGACCAAGCTGAAGCAGGCGGCCGCGCTTCAAGGCAACGCTGTGGCGGCAACCGCATCCGCCGCTGGCGCTGGCACCAAGCCACATGTGGTCTACGTATGACGTGGACGTGGCGGTGCTGGCGTTCAGAAGCAACAGAAGCAGCTGGACTTGGGCATGGAGCTGGTGGGCCTCGGTCTGACCAACAACAACTATCGCAGCTATGCGCAGTGCCAGACCAAGGACAGCGCCCACTTTTGAAAACAGGGAAATTCGCAGCGGATGCGTGTGTGCGCCACTCAAAAATGAGGTTAGGTTTTGTGTTTAAGTGAGTTTATGTTTAGATGTCCTTAATTTTTGAGTTTAGATTCGAGTTTGAGTTGAAAACGTGAATTTGATAACTCGCAACAAAGTTTAACAAGCGTCAAATGAAACAAGGGATATATCTACGTGTATAGCAGCATACTATAATATTATTAGCATTTAAAATATATATACATATATATATATATATATATTGAATAACTAAACCTAACAGATATGTCATATTAAGCACTAAGCTAACATACAAATTCAAAGAAATATTAATATTAGCGATAGTTGAAATTCTCTCTATTTCTCACTCTCCCACAGCGAAAGTAAAGCTAAGCAAGAAATCTCCACAGGGAGACGCCCACTCATAGTTAAAGGCATTCAGCATTCTAATGATAAATAGAATATAGTTGTTAGGCGCATTAAACAGAATTTAATAAACATAAATAGAGAGCGTAAGGAACGACAATTGCATTGCAAAGAGCGTGAAGAGTGCAACAAATAACTTAGTTAACTATTTATTCTTAGTTCTTATTGTATATGCGACATTTTTGATAAAACTCTTAAGTTTAAATTTAATTTCTTAGCTTGACAAAGCATTAGTTGGGCCAGTAACTAAATGGAATGTATTTCAATATTGGCAACTGGTGCAAAACGGGGACCAAAAACAGTCCATTTTTTCAAAATTCCGATCCAGAAACAAAATGCACATGAATATTATGCCAGAAATGCCAGACGAACTTTAGTTACATGCAACAGCTAATGTCGCGCTCAATTCTAGCAGATTTTTTTCAAAATTAAACAAATATATATATATTAAACAAATAAACACAAATAAGATGACAATATATAAAAAGTGTAAACTTAAGCGAAATTCAATTTAATATATTTTATTTTTTGGGAAGTTGCGCTGAGCAGCGCTCAAACTCAAAGTTGGCCTAACACATAATCAAAATTGATTTGTAAATATAAAAAAAGAAAATAAAATAAAAAGATAAATAAAAACTCGACTCAAGCACAAACTAAGCATATTTTGCATACATTTTGTACATAATTTATTCTTACATTTAAACTTAGTCAAACGCAAACATGTATATTAATAAAAAGTGAAAAAGAGAAAAAGCCAAGATATGAAGCAAAAGTAAAATGCAACAATGCGCATATAAAAGCAAATTAAATGAAAAGAATTTACAATATGTTGTTATTTTCAGTTCTTTAGCTTGCAAAATTTGTTGGCACCATAATTTACTCGTAATTGCATGCGTGGACAGCAAAGCAAATAGAAGCCCCACTGGAACTACAATTTGCATAAAAATAGTTCCGAATAAATAGAAAGACAAAACAATCTGAAATCAACAAATGCATATAAAAATAAACAACATAAAATAGAAAAACCATAAATTAAGGTAAATCAAAAGCAAAGAGCTGAGCAAATGCAACTAAAATGCATTTGTTTGATTCAGTGCGAGGAGAATTGAAACATAAATAAAACCATCAAATGTGTGTGTATAAAACGATAGCAGGCATGCGTAAGTTTAAATAATAATATATGCTAAAGTATTTAATTAAATTATATATATGATAGACACTGGAAATTGCGGCAACAACAAAATTCACATACACAAATACAAACAAAATGTTATTTCTTATACGAAGACTGAAGAAAACGATGATGCAAAATAAAAATTGAAAAAAAAGCTAAGAAATGCAATAACTTAATAAGTTTTTCTTTCATGTTCTTTCATGTTCCACAGCAACTAAATATGACTTAAGTCTGGGCAGAGAACCATGAGAATGGAAATCAGTCTTTGGCAATAAATTAGTTAGGCAATGCTCTTAAGATATGAAACAAATATGTATCTTTTTTTTGCAAATATACCTTAGAAGATAATTATTATTCTGAAAATAATTACGATAGTTGACGAAGTTTTGTTTCTAATCTGTTCAATTGCATTTCATTATAAAGTTAATGTATTATACTTATATATTTGTATTTATCGAAATAACGAATCTTTTTATATGGTTTGCAAAATGATTTGGATGTGTCACTTATGTTCTGCTAAAATAAATTTAACTCTTAAAGACTGGATCACACATTCGAGTACAGCAAAAACAGTGCTAAATCAGAGTGCTTAATTGCAATCGAAAGTGTTGTAAACTGCTCAAAGTAAACAAGAAGTAATACAGCTGTAGCAAATTGTCCATTGAAGGGCCCAAGTAATATGTGTGCATAATAAATCACAAGGAATTACGGGTTGGTCTCCTTTGTTGTTCATTTGTAGTATTATGTGCGACAACTTTACTCAGAATGTGGCAAAAAGAAAGGCAAACAAAGCCATGTTAAGCAAATAAAGTACTTGTTTTGCCAAAGAAGTGACCAGAAAAATTTTCAGAAACAGAAATAAACTGCACGAGAAATGACATAAATCTAGCACCGAAACAAGTGCTACACAGAAAGTAACTTGAAACGCCTACCAAACACCCACACACACACACACACACACTAAGAGCAGGGCAAACACAAGTGCGCAGAGGCGGGCATAAGCTGATATGTGGCACAGCAAACACAAGTAAGTTATATATGGCAACAACAAGGGCGGAATCCAGAGTTACTTGGTTACTTGGTTATTTTGTTTGAAGAAGTCCGAACTGTTTCTCACAGCTAAGCATACTTAGGGCATATTCAAATGTTCTTTATCATTTCGATTTTTAAAAATTCAATACAATTAGTTCTTTACGCTTAATAGTTGCTTTAACATTTGCATTATCTGTGGCAACTACTGTGTAACAGTCTTTAACATTGTTCCTTCATGCAGATCCTTCAGCTAACATGACGCATTGCCTTAGGCTGACCCCAACTCGAAAAAATAAAAAATAAGTGCAAAACAAATTGTGAAACGCAAAAAGCAAAAATAGTAACGAATATGAAACACTCTAGCTGTCAATAGAAACCACATTAACTGTTGTAAAACTAATCAAAAATGAAAATTAGTCAAAGCAACAAAATTTTTGAATTTCACATTTTTTATCTGCTCACTTCAATTAACAAGTTGCTATGAGGCGAATCATTTAAATCCCTGCAGTTCTAGGTCTGAATCCTCTTCATTGTAAATATCTTATCATTGTCTATACCACTATGTATATGTAAATACCATACATGCTACAAAACATTGTAATGAAAAAACTGAACTACCCCCTGTAAGGGTATACCGGAATACTTGGAACAACAAAACATGCATCAACAAAAGGGCAAACAATGGCAAGAACAAAAAAAGACGAGACACAACATAGAGGCTCAACAGTTTAGTAAATAAATCTGCATTGCTCTCTAAATAATTAACATGCCCCAGGCAAGCGACAAGACCCAATTCGCAACCCCTGCAAGCATTCACTTTCATTTAAAGCGAATCCCTGCCGCACTCATTGAGTTATTCAACCCGACGAGGGGTGCTTCGAACGAGCACAAAACTTGCGGGTGCGTTGGCTTTGAATGATTGCAGCGCAATTTGTTTGGCCGGGCCTCACAAATCCCACGAACCTTTCATAACACCTGCGTCTGGGTGGTAAGTGAAGAGCGCGTTGGGCCTGTAAGTTATAGCAAGTAATTAATATTATCATAATGCATATTCGAAACAAGGCGCGTTTGTTTCGTTGATTAAGTGAAAACGTTTTAGGGAATTTCTTTTACGCTTGTGTTGCATACGCGAACGCCCAATAAGTCATAAAGCGCAGAAAATGTTGACGAAATCTACGAATGGAAGCCCATTAAGTGCAGCCCCAAGATGCGTGCCAGGCCATCTTTACGGCCACCTCCAGCACATCCTAGCCAGTACGGCCAGACCGTAAATATCTGTCAGATACCGCCGGAACATTTGAGTTACGATTGTGGCAGCATTTTAATTGCCAGCGCGGCCATTTAGGAATTTATGCCGCTTAAAGATATTTGCTGTAGGTGCCATTCGCTTTCGTCTACAAATACAGCTACAGCCAAAGATACAGGCACACAGATTCTGGCCATGGCTAAAGCTGTTAATATGAGTACAACTGCATGCACATAAATTTAAGTGATGTTGCCGCATAAATAATTTAATGGTTCGAATTTTGTTAAAAGATGCGCTAACTGCGAAACGAAATTGGCCGAAAAAGATTGCCTTTTTCGACAAATGGGCGCAACAACCATTACGCACATTTTATCGATAAAATGAAATAGCTCTCTTCAGAGAGTAATAGCACCCAACAGTTATGAGCTCTACTTATTTCAATTAATATACATATGTATGCTTCGTTGTTTTTCGCTTGAACAATTTTAATATTAACAAATAAATATTAAATACAAACATTTACATTTAATATGCTTAACCCAAACAAAACAAAAACACTCACTCTTTTCGCTTAAGCTTGCCATGTATTTAAAGCAAGACTAAGCAAATTGTTGGTTAGCACTTCCTGCTACTACCCCGTCTGTCGGTTTTGAGCTCAGTTCGCCCCACTCAAAAATGGCGAGAAACTAATTCGCATGCATTCGTAGGGCAACCGCAAACTGTTTCCGCTTATCTTGGGTTTTTGTTGTGAATTATAGCGGTGGCATTGCCAAATAAAGCGGCCAATAAAAGTGTGGCCAAGATAAGGAAAGTGGCTAAAAGACACAATAGCACAGGCAAGCAAATACAAAGAAACAAGCCATGAATTTTTAAAAACAAAAGAGAAAATTTAACACAAAGCTTGCTATGATTTGTGCATTTCCAAAGTAAAAGATACTCTTAACTCTTAACAAGCAGTGCAAGTGCAGCAGCTCCTGTCAGGATAACTCGCAGATACACACAGAGTTAGTAGCCAGTTGAAATATCTTAAAGCCCTTAATGCTCACGAACACGCCGGGACATCTTGTGTCTGGACTTATTTTTGCCTATGCCGGGCCAGTCGACTTCTCTTTCAGTAAGATGAATGCGTTTGCTTATCTACTTGCCCGCTGGCCACTCTGTTTATACCAGATTCGGCTGCTGGTGGCTTTGGGCTCGGATTCAGGTTCTGTGCGCTTCTGTTTCTATTTCGATTTCCGCCTTTGCCTGTCAAACGGTGTGTTGGCCCACAGATGGAGATACGGAAACGGATACGTTGGCCACCGCTATGTATCGCTTGTTGAAAGCGATATGTCTGCGCTGCGGCTGCGTTTGGGTTCACTTTGGAGTTGACGCCACGCCCCTGTCCAGGGTTCATGCCGCCCATTACCCATAAGCCCAAAGCCTGAGATATCTTTCAGCTTGACAGCATCTTAACTAATATAATGCCCAATTTTCTGTGGTTTATGGCTTACAACTGTCAATAGCTCGTCGGACCATCCATCTAAGCATTGAGTGTGTATGTGAGCGCGCGTGTGTATGTGAGGGTCCTTACTGGCTGCTCTGGTCACTCAAAGGACTATTTCCCTTACCCTTACGCAAAAGGTGTTTTGTTGAGCTTTTTAAGCATTTGATTAAGGGATTTTTCGTGCTTTGCTCTTCGTAGCATTGAAAGGTCGTTATTTAAATTGATATAAATGATATGTCTTCGTGTGTAACGCAACTCTTACTCTCTGTCCCTTTTTTCTCTCTCCCTGTCCCTGCTCTTGGCTGACTGATTCGGCCGCAAACTGTTGGCGTTGACATTTTGGTCTAGGTAGTTCTCAAAGTGAATTACCAATGAGCGCTAAGTGACGTTGATTTATCATATGATATATGCACACACACATGGCCGCATTATTTGAGCCATTTGCTTTGCCAAAGGTAAACATCTCCCAAAGACCTTTCAACGTCTCACTCAATGCCGCCTGGTGTATGCCCAGCTGTTGGCCCGCATCTGAGCCAAACAATTATTGATATAAACGTAGGTAAATAATGTGTTTGCTATAAAACAGCTGTTCTTCATGTATTAGGCTAAAACGGAATTCCATTTAATCTAAATATACTCATGCATCAACTGTTGAAGCATTTTCCTTGGTGCTATGCTCTTATATCTGCTCTTAGCTCACACAGTGTTCACCGCCTCAGTGGCCTAATGGATAAGGCATCGGCCTCCTAAGCCGAGGATTGTGGGTTCGAGTCCCATCTGAGGTAAAGGTTCAAGGTGTTTTTTTCGTAATTTTTTCAGCAACGAATCAATTTGTATGTGATAAAATTTATATTTGATAAATTCGTCTTCGCAAAAGTAACTGCATTTGATTAAAAATATAATAATATTTAAATATATAATGTTTGTTAGGACGTAACAATAAAATTTGTAATTTTTATATCTACTCTGCGTGAATCTAGTGTACTATATATTTTAAGTGTCTTACAAAGAAAAAAAACACATGAAAGAGAAGAAATTGTAAATTAAACAGTGTTAAATACGTATTACATTGTACTACCTACTCAAAACATGTAAAAACCTGTCTAGGGAAAAATTGAAGTCGATAAGCATACACTAGGTAAGCATCCTACAGCAGCAATAAATGTATTAATTTATTAAACTTATCAAACATGTTGGCGAGGCCGTGCCATGACTCGAACACGTCACATTCGGTATCAGCGTCCAACATACTACCAACGACGACACAGCGAGCAACCTCGTGCCAGTTGCTACGATTATATTTGATGCTCGTGGTTGCAAATACCAAGCGAATATACGATTTTGTGATGGCGCGTTGCAAACGCACCTGACTGCCAAGCGAGAAATACTTGGTTCGATTCACGTAAAGGGTAATTTTGTTGTTCATATACTATTGTCCTATTTTGGTTTGAATTGTGAAGTTCTTTTTTTTTTATAGGACGCATTGTATCAAAAACACCTCAATAATGACTGACGAAGGATGTCTCCTTAAGGGTGAGTTCAAAAATAATTTTATTCCCTTTTGTTACTATGTCTATTTTCAGCTTTGTAAATTATGCATATTCAAGTCGTTACACAAAGTCAAAACCAATAAATCGTGGTTTTATTTAGTATCGTTTTATTGTCTTGTTTCTGCTACAAAATCACACCATCGATTTTCATTTTGATTTATAGCACAGCAAGAGTACAAGAATAAAAAAAAAATGATCTTAGGAATTTTTCACATCATTTCTGTGAACAGAAAAAATCAAATTTCAAACTCATGACGGCGGGCACAGAAAGCTGTACGGTTTTTGTCTTCTTGGCGGGTTGCTCAAATAAGTTGTGCAAATTTTTGTGTGTGTTTCAAACATGACACCCAAAACTTGGCCCTACAGAAAATAAATTTATGGAAATATTTGCACATCAATTTGGCTGCTTGGCAAACGGTTGAGCCCCCAAAACCTGAACCCAATGCCAATCACCAACACCAAGTTGTAAATTTGGGAGTCGGAGGAGCGTAACAAGCAAACACCTTTGGCTTCATTGAACTTGCCGCTTCGTGTTACAAATGCCTCGCAAAGTTTGCTTTCCACATACATAAGCCGAATCAATTTCTGTTCGAGGTGGGGAAAATATTTTTCAGCGATAAACTCATGTTACACCTTTCACAGAAGGGAAAGCATCGACTGCAAAATGTTGTGTAAAATTTGCAAATGCAATAAATAAACTCGTTTCGCTTGCGTGCTGTGGTTGGTGCCACACAACAGCCCAGGAGAAGGGCCGGCTGTTCCGTTTGCACCCACCCGGAAGCGTGTAACGGCTTGTTCTTAGCTTTTTCACACTAAACCAAAAGAGCGCCACATGTGGCTCCAACTGCTTGCAATACCCTTGCACAGGGTATTTTATTTCTGCCACGCAACGTGTGGCACTTTATTTTGTGGAGCTCAGTTTATAGATCGCAGTAGGCGAGATCAGACTTTTTTACCACCTAGGCAAGAAAACTATCGACAGTAAGTTGAATTCTTCAGATAAACCTTTATTTTTTGTAGTAATCCGTCGAAATATGAGTTATACAATTTGTTGTTAGATATATTTACTAAACTCAATATTATCGAAATTTGTTATGAAGAGTATATTTTACCAACTACTTTTGTTGGGTTACTATGTCAAAATCAGCTAAAATTAAGTAGATGCATAGTTTTGTGCCAAATATTCGAAATGCATAATCTCTAAATTTGATCAAAATCATATGTAGAAGAGCATTTTATTTTCGGCAATTTGAAGACAACATTTCAGCATGGTTTTTGTTGCCTTTATTTCGTTAGAGTTTTTTATTTTCCTTTTTTTTTTGTTGGGCCAAGCATCCCCAGAAAGTATGCAAATAATTTTTGTACTTCGTCTGCGCCTTGGCTCATATTTGATATTCAGTGTCAGTTGGCGGAAGGGTTACGAATATAAGTTATTGAAATTTGCATGCAAGCGCAGACTGGCTCCAAGGGTGGCATTGAATACATGCTTAGGTGTGGGCTAACAACACTTGTGTTTTCTCCTAACCGTACCCGCCGTCCTTTGCAACAGGGTTTCCCCTGGTGGGGTTGACTGGGCCAGAGTTGCGTATTGCTTAGCCATTATTTCGGGAATAAATCTGATGCGGGAATACTGAGAGTTCTGCATGCGATTTAAAAGACTAGCATGTGTGTGTGTGTGTGTGTGCATAAATCCCGTCGGTCCTAATTGTTTAGTAGCAAATGTTTTATTGTATACCTATTATATGCTGTATATGGTAAATAAAACAAAGGCAATAATAAAAAATAGTTGTGTTAAGCTCTAAAGATAGTTTTGCGAATATGGTATCCATTCTAGGTTCCATTTCTTTACCTTCCAAATGGGCTTTAAAAACGATAAAATGGTTTTTGTACATGTTAAATTTAAAGTTGAAAAGTTTATTTAACTCATTTGTTTGCTCGTCTCCTTTCTAATGAAACAGGGTATAGAAATTGAAATTCGCAGCTCCTATGGCTAGATGATGGTTGGTTTTATTTTTCTGCCTGCCAGCACTATCGAAGTTAACTTGACTTATCAAAGTTGAAATTGCAGCCAAACGCGCGCTATTCTGTTGGCTGGCGAGTGTTGGGATTTGTCGGCTCTCAAAACTCTGAATTGCAGCCATTGAAAGGCAGACAGCGCAAGAGCAAGTAATTCGCATTTTATACCCTGTTTCCGATGCTGATGATGATGCCACCAAGTTTCATCATATACCACTGACCCACATACGACGTCTATCACACATCATGCCATTTGCCGGCAGCAGGGTCCATGGCAGGGACAATAACTCCACATCCAACCGAAAGGCAATTTCTGCTAGAAGAGAACTTTTATTTCGCTATTATTAATTTTATCCGCACCCGCAACCACTTCCGCTTATCCATTAGAGTAGTTTTTGTTTTTTGCTGAGGCATTAAAGTGCCTCATCTTCATTTCCCGACCTATTTGGATTAGATGCGGCACATCAATTTTTCATGCTGCCAGTTAAAGTGGTCAGCTCAGCTTCTTATGTTGATCCCATTTTGCCGGTGCCCAAATAATATGGCACTAGTCACAAGCCAAAAATTGTATTCTGTGTACTTTAAAATTTATCCACAAAACGTTTAATATAGCAAATTGGACGGAACAAACTATATACATAAATTGAATATTTTGACGAGCTGATGCGAGAAACCATCTGCCGTTTTGTATATTTACAAATTTTTCATTAAACATTCACTCAGATTCCTTCGTATTTTCGTATTTATGTAACTAAGATCAGAATACTATAGAGTACACCTGCCATATCCGGCCACGGTATTGACTCTTCCGTTACAAATTTATGTTGTTTTTCTTAACTATCAAATTTGATTATTCAAATCAAATGAACCTCAATTAAAACCTTTTATATTCACATAAACGTTTATCAATTTGAAATTATCTTCACCCGCGTACAACTGCCGAAATGAACTCGTCATGGGCGGCGTGTGTCATATCATGCTCGCAATCGTATATCATCGTTATGTCAAACTGTAGGCAATCCCCATACGAAAATGCGGCTGATAACACTATCTGTCCAAGTTGCTTCACTCACTTCTTTTATTTTTGGAAATCTTGTTTAGTAGACAACCAACTGTCAAGCTGTCAGAATGAATACGCAGAGTCAACTCATATACTGCGGCTGGCTACTGGTATTGCTATCGCCGGTAAGTTTCCAATTAATTTACGTGTAAGAGAAAGCTTCCTCAGTTGGCAACTGTTGCTGCTTCAGCTCACCCTGGTAGCCTGCTACGGAGATCTCAGTCGCAGCCGCTTAACAGCCCAGGCGGAACACAATTTGGATGCCATTACGAAGCATGCCATGGTTCAGGCCACAGAGCTGGTAGATAGTGTGGTCGATGATCTGCTCGTTCTGGACTCACAAAACCCTATAATACTCAGCTATCTGAGCAACTTCGAGGCGTTTCTTGCCACTGGCGAAAACCACACAAAGGAAGCGCTGCAATCCTTCTATAACATTGTGGGCGTGTACCTGGATGCAGATGTCGCCGAGAAGACGTCGAGCATTGAGATCCAATTAATTGCCATGTGTCTGCAGCGCACTGGCTTTGATAGATGGAAGCGCACGATCCAGATGCGATCTACCCAATTACTCAAATCATTTAGCAAGAAGCTCAAAAAGTACATGGACACCCTGGACCCGGAGGAGCGTTTGGGACTGGAGCTCAGATGGAAACGCGTTATATCACGCGGAGGTCAAAGGAAACTGGAAAAGTTACGAGATTTTGTGACTTGGCTGGCGAGATAATAAATCTGTATATTTACACAGTTTTCATATTAAACATAATTTATTTCTAGAAATAAGAAATATATTTCCCGGATTCTTATAAAACACAATCAATTTGTTGAATGATGGAACCTGGATGACGATAATTGTTATCGCACATATGTATGTTAAGAAATGTTCAACCTATCCTAGCACATTCTATCGATCACTTACCAAACTAGTTATATAGTATATGTATTTATTATTATCCAAATAAACATGTGCGAAGATTGTCTGGACGTGACAGATTAGCAGAATTACTTTAATATTCATCTAATAGAAACTCATACGTATAAGTTACTTAGGATGCATATTCTTCAACTCCAAATCCACAGAGTCTAAGTGCACGTGCACTCAGAAAACTTTTCCTATGGCTGACGATGGCAATGAAAACTTTTTCATGCAACACAAAAACTTGAGGAAAAATTATAAAACTGAATATGGAAGCATCGAAATTTAGACAAAACAACAGAATGCCACAAGAAAACATCAACATGGCAGCCTGTGAAGTAAAGTGATACTTTTTACGGCACCGAAAAATGCAGACAGCCCCAAGAAGATGTAAAACTCTTGCCATGTGGAATGCAGTCGGAGGGCGGAAAAGAAACTGGCCAAAGAAAAATGGCTACTGCATTTTCTGTCTGAGAGCTGACAAAGTGCTGAGTGCATTTGCGACATTTGCTGTCGCTCTGTTCGGGTACTTGTCTAGCCTTACTTGCCGCCTCCAAGGATATGAAACAAGTTTTTTTTTATCAAATTTCACACACAATGGCACTCAGAAATATGCCACAATATACTTTGATCTTAACTACTGAATATCATCAAAACATTTTTTGTATACAATTTAATGGAATTGTATTAATCTCTTTACATAAAATGGTTTGTTCTGACGGATTGGTGAACAACCCAAACTCGTAAAGGCCAGAATGTGATCGAGGTGCATGCTAAGCCGGAAATTCCACCCGCAAGTGTGAAAAAACATTTCATACGCTTCTGTTTACCTTCCGGCCAGCCTCAAACCCATTCTCAAAGATCTTTGTTCAAATTCATTTGAAGATTGGTGCACCCTTTTCGTAAAATTGATTCCATCTTGGTATAAATGGAGGTGAAAGAGTTGGTGGGTGGCTTTCGCGCTTAAATTCATTTCCAAAGATCTTTATGAAAAATCATTAGGCATAATCCAAATTTTCTCAACTTTCTCTACGAAAAGTTGGGGGAAGCTTTAAGTCTAAACATACTACACATAATACTTGTATCAGCGATTTTTGAAATTCCGCGCGCAACAGTGGAAATTTTTCGAAATATTGACAATTTTCTAAATATGCTATATGCTAAATTAGGGAACAAGACTTGCCACGGGCAAAGCCGGGCACTTGTTAGTTTGTTTATATTTCACGATCACGCTGACATGCTCTATAGCAAATCAGAACTACACAAATGACAGGAAGACACAAGCAACAGCATGCGCACATAAAGATACTGATAATTATCCAAATTGGCCACAAAAAAAATTTTGACAATACGAGCGCCATTTTCACTGAGAAATACGTTTAATTTTTGATTAAAAATGCGATGCTAATCTGATATAAAATTTGAAGAAAGGCTCAAATATAACTATAAACACAGCCAACTAGATCTACTACGGATTTGAATTTTCTGAATTAATGTAAGCAGTCGCACAAGATCCAAAAAAAAGCCAACGACGACTCTGCAAGTAGTGATCTGTAAGTGGGGACGGATTAATGAACACTTGCCTGCGTGCCATACACTTACTCAGCTCAAAAGCATTAGCCATACTCGTAGGCATGATGCGTGCCACACAAGCCCAGGCCACAGCAAATGCCAACCAGGAATGGCAAGCAGCACAGCCCAAAGAAAGCGCATAAGCTTGCTAGAACGATTAAAATGATTGTTCCAGTTTCAATAGCACGCGCTGCTTTCTGCTCGGGGGATTCAGTTGTTGTTGTTGTTGTTGTTTTATAGATATACCACTGCCGTGCAGCGCTCATTTCAAATCAGTGTGTTTCTGCAACAATTTGAAATGTTTCTTTTCGAATAACAAATATTTTAAACACAAAGCATACTTTTTACTCTGAAACAAACAATTTAAAGGAACATGTTCATATACACTAGTTAAAAATAAGTTTGGATTTCTTCAAAATTAGTTCGAAGCAGATCGGATTGTCAAGCATTGACAAATCAATTTTGCCTAATCCTTTACAAAAATTGATTAAGATCATATATATTTTATGAGAAAGAAAATGTTCACTATTTATTAAATATCCACCATTGATTTCTTTTGGAGTTTGTTTCTCTATTTTCGCGACGCTTTAGCAAAATGTCAGCATGTGCCTCGCACAAGTGTCCCAAGAGTCTATTCAGTGCTGAAATTAAGAAGCTCAAAGTCAAGTACACTCTCAACTCCTTCTCAAGGGGGGTTTGTCATGAAGTGAGTTCTAATGATGGCTGGCGATCCACTCACAGGAGTGCTCAAAAACACCCACACACCCACGAACCATTTCTCTGACGAATCGAAAAAAAAATTGTATACAAATTAATGAAATGCATTACGGGAACTAGATGGGAATTGCGAACTGGGACTTCTGCCCAGGTCGACGAGTACCTCCGCTCGTTAGCGCTAAACTCACACACTCGCACGAGGAGCGAGGAGCGAAGAGCCCAACCCTCTCCAGCACACATTTACAAAGCACTCGCCGTTCCCGTCATTATCATAATTTGAATAAGTTCCGAGCGAGTTTTTAAAATATTCATATGAGCTGAAAGATTTTCAAGTGTTCGCACGTGTGTGCACATTATGATGCATGTGTGGGGCTGTATGTGTGTGTGTGTTTATCTTGTGGAAAGGGATTTCTGATTGTGGTGATTGTATTTGTGCCATTACCGCGACTCAGAGCAGCTGCTTAATGGATAAATGAGAAATTTTAAAAATGATCCAAAAAAATCGCTTAAAAATATGCATAAAATAATAACAATTTTAATTGTAATTATTATTTTAAATGTGAACACTAAAATTCTATCTTAGAATTTAAATTTTAATCCTTATATATATTCATATCTCTTTTATTTGTAATGGGGCTAAGGTGTACTTAAGTTTATTTAGTATTGCCCTAAGGAATTAAGCGAAAAAGTCTTGATTTTCGATCCGAACCCGATTTTGACATAAAACGTGATTAACCCCTTACTCTTTGGTCAATTTGGGTCAAAATTTTGATTTTAAAATGTTTGATGCCAATCGATAGTACTGTTAATTACGAGTCTAAAATGGTATAAAATGCCAAAATCAGACATTAATTGGCTGAGATATTACAAAAAATGATCGAAAAAGTCTTGATTTTCGATCCGAACCCGATTTTGACAAAAAACATGATTTAACCCCTTACTTTTTGGTCATTTTGGGTCAAAATTTTGATTTTAAAATTTTTGATGACAATCGATAGTACTATTAATTACGAGCCTTAAATGGTATAAAATTCCTAAATCAGACATTAATTGGCTGAGATATTCCACAAAATCATCGAAAAAGTGTTGATTTTCGATCCGAACCCGATTTTGAACAAAAAACGTGATGTAACCCCTTGCTTTTTGGTCATTTTGGGTCAAAATTTTGATTTTAAAATTTTTGATGCCAATCGATAGTACTATTAATTACGAGCCTAAAATGGTATAAAATTCCAAAATCAGACATTAATTGGCTGAGATATTCCAAAAAATCATCGAAAAAGTGTTGATTTTCGATCCGAACCCGATTTTGACAAAAAAAACGTGACCCCTTGCTTTTTGGTCATTTTGGGTCAAAATTTTGATTTTAAAATTTTTGATGCCAATCGATAGTACTATTAATTACGAGCCTAAAATGGTATAAAATTCCAAAATCAGACATTAATTGGCTGAGATATTCCAAAAAATCATCGAAAAAGTGTTGATTTTCGATCCGAACCCGATTTTGACAAAAAACATGATTTAACCCCTTACTTTTTGGTCATTTTGGGTCAAAATTTTGATTTTAAAATTTTTGATGACAATCGATAGTACTATTAATTACGAGCCTTAAATGGTATAAAATTCCAAAATCAGACATTAATTGGCTGAGATATTCCAAAAAATCATCGAAAAAGTGTTGATTTTCGATCCGAACCCGATTTTGACAAAAAAACGTGACCCCTTGCTTTTTGGTCATTTTGGGTCAAAATTTTGATTTTAAAATTTTTGATGCCAATCGATAGTACTATTAATTACGAGCCTAAAATGGTATAAAATTCCAAAATCAGACATTAATTGGCTGAGATATTCCAAAAAATCATCGAAAAAGTGTTGATTTTCGATCCGAACCCGATTTTGACAAAAAAACGTGACCCCATGCTTTTTGGTCATTTTGGGTCAAAATTTTGATTTTAAAATTTTTGATGCCAATCGATAGTACTATTAATTACGAGCCTAAAATGGTATAAAATTCCAAAATCTGACGTTATTTAGCCAAGATATTCCAAAAAATCATGGAAAAAGTGTTGATTTTCGATCCGAACCCGATTTTTCTGTGCATCTACCTGCTAGTCATTTCTGTCCCACATAACGATTATCTTGGCGGAGTTATGTCGTTTTGAAACGACATATCTCCACGGAAATTTTCTGTGCATCTATCTACCTGCTACACATTTATTTTCTCCTGGTATTTTTGCAAAGTTTCTTGTAAAAATGTTGTTTCGTTTCAAAACGACATAATCCCACATAACCATTATCTTGGCGGAGTTATGTCGTTTCAAAACGAAATTTTCTGTGCATCTATCTGCTAGTCATTTCTGTTCGCCTGGTATAACCATTCCATTCCATTCCCACATAACAATTTTTGGCGGAGGTATGTCGTATGTATGCCCCTTACTTTTTGATCATTCTGGGTCAAAATTTTGATTTTAAAATTTTTGATGCCAATCGATAGTACTAATAATTACAAGCCTAAAATGGTATAAAATTCCACATAACCATTATCTTGGCGGAGGTATGTCGTTTTGAAACGACATATCTCCGCCGAAATTTTCTGTGCATCTATCTGCTAGTCATTTCTGTTCGCCTGGTATTTTTGCAAAATTTCTTGTAAAAATGTTGTTTTTAGAGCGGTGGAGATATGTCGTTTCAAAACGACATAATCCCACATAACCATTATCTTGGCGGAGTTATGTCGTTTTGAAACGACATATCTCCAAGGAAATTTTCTGTGCATCTATCTGCTAGTCATTTCTGTTCGCCTGGTATTTTTGCAAAATTTCTTGTAAAAATGTTGTTTTTAGAGCGGTGGAGATATGTCGTTTCAAAACGACATAATCCCACATAACCATTATCTTGGCGGAGGTATGTCGTTTTGAAACGACATATCTCCAAGGAAATTTTCTGTGCATCTACCTGCTAGTCATTTCTGTTCGCCTGGTATTTTTGCAAAATTTCTTGTAAAAATGTTGTTTTTAGAGCGGCGGAGATATGTCGTTTCAAAACGACATAATCCCACATAACCATTATCTTGGCGGAGTTATGTCGTTTTGAAACGACATATCTCCGCCGAAATTTTCTGTGCATCTATCTACCTGCTACACATTTCTTTTTTCCTGGTATTTTTGCAAAATTTCTTGTAAAAATGTTGTTTCGTTTCAAAACGACATAATCCCACATAACCATTATCTTGGCGGAGTTATGTCGTTTTGAAACGACATATCTCCGCCGAAATTTTCTGTGCATCTATCTGCTAGTCATTTCTGTTCGCCTGGTATTTTTGCAAAATTTCTTGTAAAAATGTTGTTTTTAGAGCGGCGGAGATATGTCGTTTCAAAACGACATAATCCCACATAACCATTTTTGGCGGAGGTATGTCGTTTTGAAACGACATATCTCCGCCGAAATTTTCTGTGCATCTATCTGCTAGTCATTTCTGTTCGCCTGGTATTTTTGCAAAATTTCTTGTAAAAATGTTGTTTTTAGAGCGGCGGAGATATGTCGTTTCAAAACGACATAATCCCACATAACCATTATCTTGGCGGAGTTATGTCGTTTTGAAACGACATATCTCCGCCGAAATTTTCTGTGCATCTATCTGCTAGTCATTTCTGTTCGCCTGGTATTTTTGCAAAATTTCTTGTAAAAATTTTGTTTTTAGAGCGGCGGAGATATGTCGTTTCAAAACAACATAATCCCACATAACCATTATCTTGGCGGAGTTATTTCGTTTTGAAACGACATATCTCCACGGAGACATATCTCCACATGACAGACATTAATTGGCTGAGATATTACAAAAAATGATCGAAAAAGTGTTGATTTTCGATCCGAACCCGATTTTGACAAAAAACATGATGGAACCCCTTACTTTTTGATCATTTTGGGTCAAAATTTTGATTTTAAAATTTTTGATGCCAATCGATAGTACTAATAATTACGAGCCTAAAATGGTATAAAATTCCAAAATCAGACATTAATTGGCTGAGATATTCCAAAAAATCATCGAAAAAGTGTTGGTTTTCGATCCGAACCCGATTTTGACAAAAAACGTGATGTAACCCCTTGCTTTTTGGTCATTTTGGGTCAAAATTTTGATTTTAAAATTTTTTATGCCAATCGATAGTACTATTAATTACGAGTCTAAAATGGTATAAAATTCCAAAATTAGACATAAATTGGCACAGATATTCCAAAAAATCATCGAAAAAGTCTTGATTTTCGATCCGAACCCGATTTTGACAAAAAACGTGATGTAACCCCTTGCTTTTTGGTCATTTTGGGTCAAACTATTGATTTTAAAATTTTTGATGCCAATCGATAGTACTGTTAATTACGAGTCTAAAATGGTATAAAATTCCAAAATCAGACATAAATTGGCACAGATATTCCAAAAAATCATCGAAAAAGTCTTGATTTTCGATCCGAACCCGATTTTGACAAAAAACGTGACCCCTTGCTTTTTGGTCATTTTGGGTCAAAATTTTGATTTTAAAATTTTTGATGCCAATCGATAGTACTATTAATTACGAGTCTAAAATGGTATAAAATTCCACATAACCATTATCTTGGCGGAGGTATGTCGTTTTGAAACGACACATCTCC